AGGGGGGGAAAAAGAGAGTGGCCAGGAGAAGGAAGTTAGAAATAGCAGAACAGGAAACCAGGAAAGTAAATTCCTGCTGTTTCTGGCTCTGTGGCAGTGAAGAGGTTAAAGCCCAGTACACTGCCATCTCTAGACAGAACTAGTTGTTATTGCATTGATAAAACCCCGGGTTGTGTTTTCCTTGTCCATTTTGACCCGTATCTGACGTTAGCATTGCAAATGATGTCTGTTGCCATTCAACTACTCAGAGTGAGAGGACAGAAACAAGACAGAGAGCTTAGCAGAGATGATACTAATGGAAGGGGTGGGGAAAAGTCTGATTTACATGTAATTAATTATTATTTATGTAAAAACCATATCATTGTGGTGGTTCTTGACATCATTTAAAGCCTCTTTTCAAAAGAGAAGTCTCCTCTGTTAGTGCACTAATCTTTTCTGTGCTGCCAATATGAACTGTAACAACTGATGGCAGCCATGCTGGCCCATCACCACCACTTGCAGGGTTCTCATCAACTGCCCAAAGGAGAGAAAGACAAAAATGCTGCCTCCTTCTGAACAGGTGACTTTGCATTACCAGGGCCATGGAATGCTGGCGAATTGTTCAGTGGGAAATCATCTGACCTGAGGCCAACATCATGCAGGAAAAGACAGAGTTATGCATTGCTATTGTGAAGAAGTTTCAGATTAAATAAATGTATTTTCTTCTGAACTTGTAAAATTATTAACTTATTTATTTGATTTCAGTATCTAATCGCAAAATAATTACCTAACCCAGCCCCAAGGTATCTTGGCAATGTTGTTTGAGACACACTCCAGCACAGACAAAAGCTCCCGCGGGAAGACATCAATCATCTCCCCGTACAAATGAAACTGGTCCACAAAAATGAACGGCACGGCTCCACCCCAGCTCTTTCAAAACTCAGCTGTCTCAGCCAGAGCTCCAGTCCAGCTCCCAGACACATCCCTGCCCACTGGTTTGCACAGGAGCTAGGTCAAACCTCAAGAGCATGGATTACATATGGCAGCATGACCCAATTTATTCAGGCTCTGCTGGACAAAATCTATATAGTGGGAAGTTTATTGACAGTGTCTCACTGGTTCTCTCTAATTTGCCAAAGAGGCTGCTGGGCAGGAAACCCTGTTAACCTCAATCATGGTAGGGACAGATTAAAGGGACCTGGACTCAAAACCAGGCAGGTCTCGAGCCACCTTCTTAATAAAGAAAAATCCCCCACAGCACTAATTGGAGCAATTGGATGGGGTGGGAACTTTGGCTGGACAGGATGGGATGGACAGTGCCCATTGGAGGGAGGGATGTCACCTGCACTCGTGGTCCCACTCATGCATTGCACTCTCTGCACAGCCCACGTATCCCAGCACATTTCCCCAGCCTCCCTCTCCCCCACTCCCACCTCCAGAGCGTTTCTGCACACAGCACTGCCTCTGCCCATGCTGTCAGCTCATGGGGACACACAGTGACACTTGTGGCTCCTACAGTGACACTGGTGGCTGCTGAGACCTCAGCCCTGTGCTGCCCAGCTTCATGGGGACACGCAGGGCAATCCAGGCTTGCCTGCCACAGGCCAGGTGTACCAAACGAGAATCACTGCAGGCAGAAACCTGCCTGAAGGTTCCCACCTACCCTTCTGCTTTTAGACAACAGCACAACACATTCTGTTCTCCCATTGTCACCTCCTTGTCAACTGCTGTGAGCACCCAAGCATAGCTAATCCCACCTGAGAACGGGTGGAAATCTCCCCTTAAACATATATTTTTATCCCAAATGAATAATTTCCAAACAGCACAAAGCAGTATTTCCTTGCACATCCCAGCTATGGTAGGATTTTCATCCTGGGTGAAATGACTTGTCCAGCCTTGCCCAGTTTGTGAATGGGCTCAGATACCAGGCAGGCACCTGATATCTCACTTGGAAGAAAGAAAAAAAAAAAAAAAATTGCCCTAAGAGAGCACCATCTTCCCCATTGCATTATTTGTTTTGTCAAAAGTGGCAAAAGCTACTGTCATCAGCTTGAGACCAAGCAAACTCAGCTCATGCAGAGCATGCTTGGCATGAGGAAATGTTTTGTTTCTTGAAGCAGGCTCTGAGAAGGTCAGCTTGTCTTGCCTGCTGATCTATTTCAGGCTTTATATTTTTGTTTGTTTGTTTTTGCAATATTTTTGCCTATGTCATCATCAAAATATTCAAATTTTTGCTTGCTTTATATTTGTTTCGTTGGGGTTTTTTTTAAGTCACCTTTACCATAGGAACAAGTAGACCAGTATCTGTGAATTCCAACCTTCAAACTTGTAAAACTGAGTGAGGTCAGTGCAGGGACTGTTTTTCCTAGTGAAATTAGCACAATCATAGGGCAGAAATGTTTTCAGAGCTACTGAAAACTCTTTATCTGGTCAGTCTAGATACCAGATGTTTTCTGGTTTTCTTAGCTCTTTTTGGTTCACAACTGCTCTCTGCTGTCCTTGCATGTCAAACAACTGCAGAGTCAAGACAGTGTTTTGAATCTCAGAAAAAATTCAGGCTTTCAGGAGGGTTCTTTTTTTTCTGCTGTGGGGTTTTTTTTTCAGAGAGAAGATATTGTTTTAATGGGAAACCTCACACCCAAGAATCTTGTGGCTGGTTGTTCCTACCCAGGATAATTCTCTGGCCAACACATTACAGCTTCCACCCCGATACTGTCAGAGTCAGAGGCACATTTCCTTCAACCCTCTGACTTGGTTAATCACATCAAGTAATTTGTTTATGAAGTTCAATTCTACAAAGCCCAACTTGGAAGCAGGTATTCATCCTCCCAGATACAAGCACTTCTGCTGTAATTTCTTTTAAAGTCAGAGCTGATCTTTATCTACAAAAGGCCGGAGCAATAAGTATTTGGTGTGTTTAGAAAACACGTCTCTTTCACCACACCTGCAGCCTGGCTGCCAGCTTTCAGCTGTGTGGACTCTCCACAGTTCTGGGAGACTCTAGTGCAGTAAACAAAGTAGTTTTCTCTGGATTCCCATGTTCCAGGTACCTCTCCCAAATGCTTCATGTACTTACACCCTAAAGGTCTTCACGCAGGTCGTGTTTCCACAGCATTTCCATGGATTTGGTGGGAGTGGGGTGATGGTAGTTGGGTTTTCTACCACTTCTCCTCTAGATTGTCCTATTAATGACTTTACAAGAGATGCAGAAGATCCTTCGGTGTTGAACAAGAACAGAAACCATTTCAGGAGTTACTCCTAAGATTCTTTTTCCCTACCCTTGATGTGAAAGACAAATGAAATCCCATCTTTTCAGGCTTCTTCTGAAAATTGTTACAGCACCCAAATCTGAGGCTGTCTCCCACGAGCTGCTTCTATCTGATGCAAGGTAATGTCCCATAAGCCTCTCCCTTGGCATCACTGGTGTTCATGTGGGTCATAGCAATGCCAGTGCCACTGAACAAACAAACTTCAAAGTAAAAAGGAATTCCAGAGCCAGGGAGACATGCCTGGGGGCAAGAGAACTGGGATAATAAACTCACAGCATCATCCAGGTGCCAACAACCCAGTACTTCTTGTGCCTCTCATTTATGCAGTTTCTTGGAATGGTTTCCTAAGCCACCATTTCATTTTGGAGATGAAAGGAACAGGCAAGGGTTAAATTGGAGCTGCCATCCCCCACCCCAGTCTATTCACTGCAGAAGGAAATCTGTCTCTCTCCCACCCCTCAGCATCCTGTCTCTGCTGCCTTGGAAAACACACAAGTCCCTCACGGCTTCCTGAGGAGCAGAGACCTCAGCTTGCTCCCAGCCCTCCTCCACCACCCTGCAGCATCCTGGTTTTCCCATGACAGAGCACCCTTCCCAGAGGGCTCCAGCCACAGCAGCTTCTTTTTTTCCCACCTGGCCTGGCCAGAGGAGCTGCTCTAGCAGTAACATCTCTGTCTCCTGGGTTTTATCCCAGCAGCTGTTCAAACTTAGCCTTGGGTACAGTGGGTATCCTGCAGCCTCCACAGCTTTTCTGACACCAGGGGCTGAATAATTCCTAAGTGGATTCTTCTCCCCCCTGTCCCTCTTTACCTGGTATACTCCACTGCCTCCTTTTCTTTTTTTTCTCTATAGTTGATAGGGCAGCCAAAAGGAACTTTAAACTGCTCCCTCGAGTTTATCCCTCATCCAGTGTGTTCCCCACTGGGTGCCAAAGCGTTTTCCCATCCCTGTGACTCCAGGGAGGCAAGCCATGCTCAGAGCAATCTGAAGGCTGGGAACCCACGGGCAAGTTCCAGTGTTAACCCAAGTCACACAAACCTCACAAAGCCCCCAGAGGGCACACAGGGGTCACTGCTTTCCCTACAGGGCCCTTGGCTGCTGCTGAGCACATTTGCTCTTACTGCGGGAAAGGTCGGCTCCAGAGCCTCAAGCCCTCACCAACAGACTCAGAAAATGGACCAGTTCAGTTTCCCCTTCAGAGACAGGGGATGGGTGCCAGGAGGAGGAGGAGAAGCCAGCCCTGGGCACCTGAGGAGGCTCAGCATCACCTGGAGCATCCACAGGTATCCCACCCACTACATCCACACAGCCCAGCACAGCTCAATACCCCCACAGCAGCATCCCCTCGGAGCTGTGTCCATAAGTTCAGTTCCAATAAGTGCAGTTGGAAGCATGGAATGGCCCTGCTGCCTTCAGCCCAGAGCTGGAGCAGGCTGGTGTGAGCTCAAGGGCTGCATGTTACAGAGACATGCCCTGAGAATGCTTCCAAAGGGCAGGTACTGCACACTCTGCATCCTCATGGGCAATCTGTGCAGCCTAACTAGGGCACTGTGAATTCACACCCTGGCTCTCTGTGCTGGAACTTGTCTGTGGAGACAAGCCCCACATGACTTCTTCCAACACTCCTGGTCCTGGGGAAGCAGCACAGAGAACAACAGTGTTGCCAAATCTAAACATTGAAAATCATGAGTCATAGTTTCCGAAAATGATCCCAGTTCTATTTAAAAAAAACAAAACAAAGAAACCCAAAACAAACAAACAAACAAAATTTAATGTATTCAATTTTTCATCTCTCAGATGGCACCCAGAAGTTTCTCCACAGTTCTCAGTGCTAAAAATCTCAAGGGAAAACAAACACAACAGAAAGTAGGAGTAGAGATTTTCATGCATTCTCATGATTCCAGAAGCCAGAGTTTTAAAGAAAAAGAAATAAACAACAAAAGACTTATGATATAAAGATTATACTTTGGCTAGCAGCAGAAGTAAAACCTCATGGTTTATGTGACAAACCTCAACTGAACAACTCAGCTCAAAAACTTGGAAAAAGAAGGTGAAACATTCCAGTATCATTTTGGCTGCCAAAATAACAGAAAGAATTGTGCAAAATTTCAACACAAGCAAAAAAAAAATCAATGAGAATTTTTTCACTCCCATGAACTCAGAGACAAACAGATGTTGACAAAAAGATGTTGCAAATAGCTCTTGCCGTTGCTCAGCTGAGCCTGAGTTGCAGTGTGAGTGCATCTCTCGTTCATTAAGTCATTGCTTTTTCTCACACACAGCAGCCACTGCAGTGTCTCTGCACCCTTGGTGTTCCTTTGTAACTTTTACCAGCACAACAGGGTTAACTTCAGCCTCTTGTACCATGTTAACAGTCAAAATGAATTTTTCCCATTTTTTCTGCCAGAACATACCTGTACTGCCCTAAGAGAAAGGGACACAGACCCTGCTTCCGCCATATGAAAAATCCCTGTTCTTTGGTAACATCTGCATTTTTTAATATGATTCTACAATTTGGACTACAAGTATCAAAGGGCCCAGCTGGCTCCTGTGTGCTACTTTCTGTCCTCCTTCAGCAGTGAAGCAACCTTTAATTGTATTTACTCTGGATTAGACCTGTAGGACCCAACCTAAATCATACCAAGATCCAAGAGGTGCACTCCTGGAAAAAGCCTCCCGAAATGGATCCCATGTCCAAATTGCAGATGACGCCATCACTGGTTTTATTTCAAGGCAATCCAGATGTTCAGTAAAGTGATTAGGAAGTGGTGTGTATCAAATATAAGATACTCCACATTGAATTAATGCATTTATTTGCTCTGAATGGTTTTCTAGGTCAGGGCAGCACTTTACCTGTCACAAGTAAAGTGCTTTGACAGAACACATGGACATTTCTGCTGCTTAAACTGAGCCAGCAAACAGAATAGCCAGCAACTCCCAAGTCTCAGAAGAGTCCAAAGAAGTACTGTCTCTCTGATATATTTATTTCCTGGCCCACTAAATGCATGAGTTCAGGTCCCATTTGTCAGCATCCTTCATAGAACAGCCATTTGAAAGGAAGCAAATAAACATAACAACATTATGGTGGGGTCACTGAGTTTTCAGCCTATTACTGGCTAGCAGGTGTGCAGAGTATCACTCAGATCAGCTAATATGGCCCTTTGCTTTGAAGAATGAAAGACAAGAACTTGTCTCTCTAGGGTGCAGCACCTCTGCCCAGACAGACTTGCTTGTTCCAGTGCTGTCTCCAAGCCAGGTATCCATGCTTGTGGCACAGGGCTCTGGTACATAACCTGGCCCCAGCTCTGTAACTGGGACAAGGTCAGAAAAACCTGCCCAGGACTAGCAAGGGCTGCTAAAAGCCTTGTCTCAAACTACTGCAGAGTGTAAGTGCCTCCTACCTCTCCCATATGGACCTGCTTGGGGTTTTTCATTCCCTTCAAAGAGGAAGAGTGAGGATGAAGAACAGCTGAGAACATAACATGCATGGATCCTATGTTTTATTTCCATATTTAGCAATCCATGAGAATCAATAGCCCCCTTCTTCCTCCTTGTCAGAGAAGCCTTCAGTGGATGTGTTAACTATTACCCCATCTGCCACAGTTTCCTAGGGAGAATGACAGAAACAAAGTTCTCAGGCAATCACAAAAACACTAAATCCAGAGGCATCACATCCTCTGCTAATGGAAAGCATCCATGGACATGGGCAGGATCTCCAGTGTCAGGATCCCTTCTGACTTCAGGCCTATGTCTCTTTTTCTCACTTGGGTTTCTCCTTACACCTTCTGCTTGTGAACAGGAGAGGACTCACAGGCACATGTGGGGAAAAAAATCCAGATAAGAAAATGCAGCTGGGTTGTAATTTGTAGTTTCACAGTCCTTTGTGGATAAGCCCCAACACAATATATCCATTTGCCTGCAAATTCCGAATTGTGTTAAACCCACAGTAGTTCTAATGTAACAATATCTTCATGCTGAGCAACTTGAAGACTGCTGAGAAATACAGCACTTAAGCAGAACAAAAAGCAAATTCCCAGCAGCACCTTCCCACCCCCATGTTTTTATTGAGTTTTAGTAGAAAAGAATTCAGAAATACAGAGGGCCTGCAGACCAGACTAGGAATTGTCTGCATTAATTTGGGGTTTACATTACTTTCAGCTGATACTCAGATGAAAAATTAAGCCAGCATTCCTCCATGATTTAGGATTTTGTGAACGAGTTTTATAGACAGATCTCTGCTCCCTGGACCTGGTGATCCCAATGATTTCCACTAACATGGGCACGCAGGAAAAGGAGGAACAGGTCTGTGTATGTATGTTTGTTTGCAAGCCAGTGTCTCTGATGACAAAGGAGCATGCAGAAGAGTATCAGCTCTGATCCGAGAGCTCTGGGAGGGATCATGGTAATGTGACTTTTCACCAGCTTTAGTGACATAAGAATCTGGCCACCAAGACACCCTATCTTTTGCCACACTAAGACAAATACCAGAAACTGATTTAAGTAGCACTAAGATTTTTCATTAGTGCCTGAAGCAGGTGGAACTCACATCTTCCTGCACATGAGGAGGTGTTGGGCTCCTCTATGCTAGGTGTTTCTTTAAGCTTTTATCTCAAGCTTATCCCTTAAGGCAAAAATAAAAGTTTTTCAGGTTATCAAAGTTCCGGGCTGCCAGCTGCACTTATCCCATTATGAAAATTTAATTACTGAAATATATAACTTCATAGTTGTCATTTCATTAGGTTATGTAGGACGCAAACCAGAGAATTGCATTTATAAAGACTCCTCAGTATAATATTTACAGTTCCTAGTTTATTTCTGATGGAAGCTAAGTTTTTAGCAGCCACGTGTAAATTCAAAACACCTGAGGCCCTCTCTTATACCAGAGGTTACAAACTTGAGAACCTCTAAGAACCTCCAGGACCAGCCAAGTCTTTCTATACAGGGGAATAATAACCAAAAGCTCCATCTAGGAATGAGCAGGAGGAAACCCATGATTGTGGGAGGATAACAGGGCACCAACACACCTCAGCTGAACAGAGCACATGTTAGGAGCTCCATCCAGACACCTTCAGCAGCAATCCCACCTGCTCTACCATCCTGGAAGGACTGCAGAGCTACCACCTCCCAAGGAAAGGCTGGTGGCCATCTCCAGTAACAATATTGCCAGCTCCTGGGAATTACCATCACAAAACTCATCGAGTCCCACTGTTAACAACCGGCCTACCACAGCATACAGATCACTCCTGACTCCACCAAAACTGTTTCTTTCTCAGTTTTTCATGAGAACTCCCTCCCCACAGCCAGTAAACCCCCAAGCAGAGCTCAAGGAGAACACCTACCTGCCCACAGCAACACACAGGGGAGCTTCCCTCTCTCCTGTGGCTTCTTTCCAACCAGCCTTGGTCCATGACTGGCAGAGAGCTGAAACGCATGAGACCCTTTTCTCAAGGGCCATATTTCTCTTCTCCGTTCCAAACCACCTCCTTGGAGGGAACTTACCTTCCTTGTGGGCTCCTGCAGCTTGAGAGAGCTCTGGGAAAACAGCTTGTGCAGATGGAGCAGGTCAGGGCCATTCCCCTCACTGTCTGCTCACAGGTGTAGGCGTTTTCCTCTCCTGAGCAGAGCTGGAGGTTGCACAAACACAGTGTGAAGCATCTCCCTGCTCTGCTTCCTTGGGTGGGATGGCTGGCAGGAAAAAAAGGGACCTCAGCTCCAGGATTTCTTGTCTGGATACCTTCCACTTAAAGGAGCTGGACCTTCTACCTTAAAGGAGTTTATATGAGACAGGGTGGCAAAATTAGGATTAAAGCAGATCAAACATTAGGTTTTCAAAAATGACAGTAAAAATAACATTCGTTGTAAGTGATTGGCAGGAATTTAACATGGGCATCCTCACTGCATCAAGGTCTACAAGCTGTAGCAGAGAAAAATGGGCATTTTTATCAGGCATTGCTTTATATACACCCTGCAAAGGCAAATCATTGGGTGGGAAATGAAAATCAAGGAGAAATACATGTGTTTCTGATTATTCTATCCCTAAAGTTGTGTTCTGTCATTATGGCAGATTGCTTAATTGTGCTGCTGATTACTTTTCCTGAATTCTTCCTACAGCTGTAGTTTTCACAGTGCCGAGGAAACACTAATTAGCAGGAGGAATGTTTTAAATTTTTTTACAATATATATTCATGTGAAAAAGATAATTCCTCAGCATCTATGTATTTAGTCCTGGCTCTGTCTTTTATTTACCCTTTCTCACTCCTTGTTGATCCATCCCTACTGTACACATGGCTGGCCTGAAGTGGGGAGGTTGCAGGGAAACAAGTCCCATTTCCAGCTGAAGGCAGCTGTAATCCCAGGCAGCAGCAGTTCAGCTCAGTCCCCCTCACCCCTCAAAATTCACCTTGTCCAAGATTCCAAATGTGCATCCACTGTGGGATAGGTTGGTCTTGGTGTGCATTTGCTACTAGGAATTACCTCTATACTTTGCAATATGTAAAATAAGTCATTGGTATAGGAGCATCTGCACGATGCTGTAATTTTACACACATTTAGACTCCACATCCTTAATGATCCATCACAGGGATGATTTGATGTTGTTTAACTCTTGTTTCACTGTAGCATGCATTTGCCCTGCTTGTCCTGTCATATACTCCTGCAATATATCCACTCAATAAGGAGAAATGCTTCTTATTTTGTGTAAATTAATGCTGTGACACTAAACTTTTAAATATTTTTGTCCTTCAGTATTAACTGCTGGTTCACACAACCTTCCCTTTCCTCCTTCTCATCATCCTTGCTTCAGCAGTTGCAGTGGAAAGAGTGTTGCAGTTGCTCACTAAAAGCGTGTGTGGAGCTCTCACATAAGTTATTTTAAGAGGGGTCGGAGGGGATCCCAGTCTTACACTTCCATAAACCCACCAGTACAGGATTGTTGGGATTAACAGAAAAAATTGAGGGGGAGTAAGCAACACATGGCTGCTGTTTGTAGGTTTCACCTCTCTCTGAAGTGACTGATGCATCGACCCCATCTAGCACAGCATTTTTTCTGTTTCTCTTGCACATTTAACCATGGCCTGAGCCAGCACCTCGACTGTGATCCAGGGCCAGCCAGCTCTGTATAATCAGCAGTTTAAGCCTCCAGCACAGGAGGTTTTTGCTGGGGTGCTTGAGGCTACAGCTATTCCGTCAGCTCAGTTTGGGTTTGACTCTCTGGGAGCTCACACAGCCCACGCACCCCAGCACAGCCACCCTGCTTCCCAGGAAAGGAAACTTGGGTGGGATGAGAAACCTCTTCAGGCGCCCTCGCTGCCCCGCGGTGTGGCTGACTCATGAGCCATGCCCGCAGGGCTGCCACCTGTCACTGTGAAATTTCGGTGGCTTCAGTGACTTCCCCAGTCAGCCCTGCCCTCGACACAAGAGATGGGTGTTTCGGTTCACCAGCAGCACCAAAAAGTAAAGACAAAGCAAACCAAAAGCAGGCTGGGCTGAGCTGTTTAACAGACTGAAACCCAAGGTGAGGAACAGCTCGATTCAGCAACTATGGTGGGTGAGAAGCATCCAAAACTCACTGAAATGGGGTTTGACCACCTGAAAACTGGGAAGGAAATTAATGAGAAATCTGGGTAATGTCAGGGGTAGCTCATTAAGCCCCATTTGTATGGAAAAAGCCAACTTTGGGGCTTAGAGCAAGTGCTCGAGGAGCAGTGGCTACACACTTGCAGATCTATCAGAGTTGCCTTCATGCTTTACATACATTCACAAAGTCCACGGACATCTTCCTGCACGTTTTCCCACCACTATATTGCTCCTGAATCTCAAATGGCTTGAACAAATAGTGCTGCCCACTTGGACAAGGATTTCAGGATGCACCACAGCGACTGAAGCTGGCTGTGCTGCTGGGATGGGCTGAAGACACAATCCCTGGCATCTCCTGGGCTTCCTCCACACTCTTCAAAGGGCCAGACACCACTTGCATGGCCAACCCCGTGGTGCTGGAGGCACTGGGCTTGCTTTGAGCCTGCAGTGAAAGAGCTTGTGCATGCTTAGCAGGCGAGGTCAGCGACTCTGGACATCTGGCAGCTCCCAACAGGCTGCCAGACATTGAGAAATCTGAGACAAACACAAGAAAAGCCTCCAAATCTGCCTATAAACAATGTTCAGGTGGGAAACCAGCATGTACAGTAACTCTGCAGCCTGCTTTGCTTTAGCCATAACCGGAATGTAACCATTTCTGGGCTTTGTGGAGTCAAAATTGGGACCTTCATCCCTGAACCCACTTAAAAAGGCAAGTTCATTAAGGTATTTAGGTACAAGAATTAATTGAACAACTCAATCCCATTCATTTCACTGGACCTCTGTTCACACGGAGTAGCTCCTATCCAAAAGAGCTTGCAGATGAGGGGCAGCAAAATCAGGTAGTACAGACTGTTAAAAAACAACAGCAGACACTACTAACCCTGTCTCTCTTCTGGAAGAAAAGCAATTTTATCTGCCTGGTTCCTGGTAAGTACAGAAAGAGGTTTCATGGTCACCATAAGTATTAGGATTGAATAGTGTTTGTCTATACTAATCTGAAGTGCATAGCAGGAAATAAGGTAATTTTCCCATCCTTCTGATTATATATAAAAATTTTATGTGAACTTTTTGTGGATTTGATTGCAGCAACTTGGGATGTTTCCTGATTTGTTCTTCTCCCGGGGCAGTTTTTTTGGATCAGCTTCTAACAAGCCCTGGTAGAATACATGGTATAAAGTATTTGTTGCTTTAACATTTCAAACAACCTAGAGAGGAGGTCACACTCTCCTGGCCCATGTGCAGCGCCTTTGCTGTCTCAGAGGTCCTCTGTTAGTATCTGTTGCAGCCAAGCAGCGAGTGGGATGGTTCCACAGCAGGGTGTTGGCTCACAGTGACACATGTGCAAACCAAAATCCAAGCTTTCCTGCTCCAGCACTCTCCTGCTGACACCTTTAAGTTTGTTTAAGGCAAGGACATGTTGGCTAAGGTTGTCCTCATCCACTCTCTAAATGGCAGTACACATAAATCACTGTTACTTAAAGTCTGTATTTCTTTATTGAAGAAGATGCTGCAAAGTGCTCGAAAATAATGTTGGCTGCTGTGAACTGTGGTGCCCAATCAATGAGAGACATGACAGTCAATTACCCCTCCACTTACTGATTATCCCCAGCAATCAGCCTGGATCAATATCTTCAATCTCAATTGATAGCAGATATCAAATCTGAAATAGGACATTTCAGTGCTTTGGAAGTACTGGTGGAGGGAGGGTGTGCAGTAGTGACCACGTTTATTTAATCATTCATTTCATTCCCACTGCTCCAGTCAGCCAGGGGACAGGCTCTCCAAATGGCTCTGCCCATCCTTTCCTCAGGAGTGCCTGGCCAGTGTCAGTGAGGAGGGGAGCTGGACCACAGCTCACTGTCCCAGGGCACCTTCAGTGCAGAGAGAGCCTGTGGCAGAGAACAGGGAAACGAAGTTCAGGCCAATGCAGCAGGACAAAGCAGAAGAATAAGGAGGGAAATTTGGATACTGAAGCAAGGAAGGTGTTCCCAAGGCGCTGCTCTGTGGCAGGGCACCTGGAGATGAGCTGCAGTGCAGCCACCACAGTCTTGCTGCTGTCCCAGGTGACATCTCCACCCATTCCCACCCCTTGTCACACAGTCACTATTCAAGCAGTGACATTCTCTCAACATATTCTGCCAGAGCACTCATAGGAGGGATGGTGTAGAGGAGCAGGAGGTTGCGCCTGTCTTTGTTACAGGAGACTTAGCAAAGCTTCCAAATATTTGAAGAAGAGCTGTGCCAGGAGCTCTTTCAGAGTTTCCTTCAAAGATGCCAGTTCGAACAGGCTTTTGTAATTGAGAGGGATCATTTGCATTTGTAATGGTTTAAACACAAACCCATACACACCGGTGTGGGTGAGGCAGCAGGGACAGGGCTGATTGGGAAGAGCTTGCCTGCACTCCTTCCCTCCCATTCAAAAGCCTAGTGGGCTTTGATTTTGGTGTCCCTCAAGCATCCCTGCAACCATGGACTGCATGACACCTCCCTGCCATTGGCACCTAAGGGAGCCTGGCCCTCTCACCATGTCAGACCTGTCCTTTTGGTGTCTCTTCAACACCTGTCCTTTGCACAGCAGTATAAGCTCCTCCATGGGATGACCACAGCAGCCAAAAATTCCCATGCCAGCTTCTGGATCAGTGCTTCCAAGTACATGCAGATAGCTCGACTGTGAAGTCAGAAGTCTCTTGGTTGCACCAATTGCTCCCCACAGGTGAATCCCAACCTCATGATTTGTCACCATGGTGCTGCCAGCTCCTGCAGGCTTCACTGCAGGGAACTGGCTCCTTAAAACACCATGTCCTAGGGTCAGCCAGCCAAGGTGCTTGGCTTTCCCTTAAAAATACTTGGGGAAGTAGTAAAAATAGAAGGGGTATCTGCATCCTCGGAATCATGGAGAAAAAGCTAGGAAACTTGAACTCAAGAGCTCAGGATATAACCAGCAAAAAACATGCTCTCTTAAAAATGGTTTACTATTGGAGTTGGCTGTTAATGTCGTTTCAATGTCCACATGTGACAGAGGCAGGAAAGCAGCTGAAAGATAACGGAGATAATGCATTATCCCTAGGATCCCGATATGGCCAGGAGCCAAGGCATTCCCCTTTTCTAATACACAATCCTTGTCATAAGATTGAATATCCATTTGGGGGCAGAATTCCCCTACTTTACTTTGCACACTCCCCTCTGAAAGCGTTGTAATGCTTTACTTATTGGCATCTTATTTTGATGAATAGGCTGCAGTTGGTGCAAAAATCTCCTGAATGGCTTTAGGGGAGTCAGGCATGTGATCGTTGGCCCATTTGTACTAAGTACCATCACTCAAAGTCTGTATTACTCACAAGATGCTTAAGCCAGCGTATTTTCCTAACAGGCACAGTCCTCTGAGGGTACAGCTAATCGTGCTGGGGACTTCTTTGAAGTAGCATAAAGGGTAATTATTCCCTAAAGTCTCATTTAAAAAACACCCTTAAAAACTAAGTTTTGTGCCTTTGGAGAAAAAGGCAGTGCCGGGAGGAGTGGCTGCCTGCTGGGCTCAGAGCGGCAGGGGAAGGAGACATGTCCTGTCTCTGCTCCTTGTCTGGACTGAAATACAGATTCTGAGGATAAAAATAGGGAAGAAAAAAGGGACCTCAGAGAAATGTGGGTCAAGTACGAGAAGCTTTTTTTTTTTTTCTTTAATTTTTTTCTTTTTTAATAATGTAATGGGCAGGATAACACAGATCATGGTGCCTGGGAAAAGCAGACCTCAATCAGCAGTGGCAGTGGTGAAATCTCTGAGCTCAGGTGGATTTCTGCAACCTGTTACACCCTGAAAGAGCTTCTCTGCTGACAAGCTGGCCCCAGTACCAGACTACTCCTTACCAAAGCTCTTTTCCTCTCGGGACTGCAGGAAAAGGCAGGTGATTTAACACATAGGCAAGGAAAAAATCCCACTGCTGGTCCCAGTTAGCAATCCCTCCTCGTGCTGTGGGGCAGGAAACAGGAAACACCACCTCCAGCTCACTCTCCTGGATGGGCTTTACCCTTTTCTTCAGAATTGCTTCTGACCTGGTCAGACCATAGGGGGAAGCCATGAAGATGCAGCCCACTTTTACTTTCTGACTGCAGAAATGCATTTGATGAGCTGTGTTCACTTTCCAAGAGCCAGACCTGGACAAGGGCTTGTCTGAGCACCAGGTGAGGAGCAGAGAGGGAAAGGCAGATATTCCATTTAGCTCAAGAGAGGGGAGAAGCCACTCACAGCATATAGAGGCTCCCTCAATTTTGTAGTATTTCTAATTACAATTAATTAGAAATTGTAGCATTCTCCATCCCATGCTTTTTGCCTGGCTTTGACAAAATGGTTGGCAAAACGTTTTTTCAAGAGTGTTTCATTTATGGTGTCAGACATGACACCCGACACCACCAGTGTTGCCTGGCCCTTTGTAAGGACCATGCTGCTTTGCCCCACTGTGGACATAAAGTGCTTTTCCTATGAAGAGATCCAATCCCTAAGGAGAAACACCAGGGCAGCACAGCCAGCCCCACTCCAGCTGCAAACCTGCCCAGCCATGACAACTTCTCCCTGTTCCTACAGCTTGTTTTAAACTTTTTGTATGCTCAAAGAAAGGGAGAAACACACAAGTCCAGAAAAAAGTTACACCATGACTATTTTTAGAATGCAGTTGTGTTCAGAAACCTCCCAGAAATCAAAGACTTTCTGAATTTGCCAGTATCAGTTAGAGAAAATCTATTTCCTTACTGCTGCTCATAATTTAACTACCCTCCCCTCTTATTTGCACTGTTTATACATGAATTCCTACAGCATTATGTGCTTTGTTTAAGCAGGAAAAGTCCAGTCCAGACACGGCTCCATGACAGCTCCTCCTGACTAATAGCAGAATTATCCTTACATAAGTCCCTTCTCTTCCCTGGCATTTTTTCTCTCTCCAGGAAGGTACTTCCCTGCACACCTCGGCGGGATGGAGCAGCTCAATTCCATGCCTGATGTCGCAGTGCCATCTCATGGCAGCTCCAGTGCCAGCTTTTCACTTGCTTTCAGCTCTTTGCAGGTGTTTTCTTGTTAAGCTGTTGAGGCCTTAAATTTATAAACTCGCAAAAATAAAAATAAAATATAAAATTTAAAAAATCCTGAAAAGATTAAATGAGAGTTTTTTGTCATTACTTAAAACTTAGAAACTTAAGACTTCCAAGAAAGCTCAAGGACAGAGAAGAATCAACAGAGATAACTTATTTTCTAAGAAGCAGGAAGGATGGAGATGAGGGCAATGAAGAGGCTTACATCACTTTTGTAGTTAGACTGACTCCAGAGGGAGAAATATTACCCTGACTGTTTCTGAAAATATGGAGAGGGGCAACCCTGTGTTCCTGTGGTCAGGCATCCTGCTGGAAGAAACTCCAGGAAAATCACCAGCTGACCCTCACTGCACAGTCACAGCAAGAGCATGAGACACAAAGCCAAAAAAGTGGCAGTACTGCTGCAGGGTGTAGCTGCAGGGAGAGACTAACAATCTGGCTGGGAAATACTGAACACAAAAACCCCAAAAACATCTCCCCGAAATTATTGCAAAGTGAAAAAAAAAAAAAAAGCCATAAAGCTTTCTGTGCAGACTGTGCCTGTGCCACAATGCAGGATCATTTCCCAGTTAACCTGGCAGGCCACGCTGTCTTTTCACAGGCAAATATTATTTTGAAACGTTGCTAAGAACCAGCAATGCTAATGCATTTGGGTCAGGATTTTCCTACTCCAAACCCCTATTTCATGACCAAAGACATACAGGAAAAATCCCTTCTACCTTTCATGGGATTTACAGTGGGATCCACCCCATGGCTGTGATAGATCCAGTGGGAGGCAGGGGTGCCAGGATGAGTGCTTCCCTGGTGGGAGGCCATGGAGTATGATTACCCAGGGAGGGCACATTATGGCACAGGATGACATGCACCATCCATCACTTGCTGACTGGGTTGTTTTCTCTTTGCACACTTGTATGGAAATGTAACTACAAAACATTCCTCTGAGCTGTTCACTGATGTGCAAATATAGCTTTAAATGACTTCTCTAGGAAAGAATCCTCACTATTTTATACAAATTGTCTTGCATGTTTATTACACAGAATCATGATCCAAAAAGAAGGGGATCCATCCCATGCCTGTTCATAACTCTGTACACATTATGAGCTGAACATACTCCAGGCCCCCTCATATGATGAATGATACCTACTTCACTTCCAGCCTGCTCCATGTGCTTATTTATTTATGGAGTCTCAGTGCTGATGGGTGTGCTCTCAGTTCCTCCACGAGACACAGCACATCACAGGCACTGCGCTTGCAATGGGCAGTTTGGAGAGGGAGCAGTAGAAGCTGAAGATCTGCTCCTGGCCTCACCACTGTGCAGGAACACCCCAGCACTGGTCCAGAACTGCTGCACTACCCACTGACACTGTTCCCAACAGCTGGTAGTTTCTCCACCACATTTAAAGCCCTTTTTCCTGCCCCTTGGCTAGGAGCAGGGCACCAGGCTGGGCTCAAGAGCCACGCAGGTACATGGATGCCCACCCGCCCACTCCAGGAATGCTGTGCCCGGGAGGTACCCACGGGATGTCTCCTGCTGTATTTAGCTTGGCTGGCTCGGCCGGCCCATTCCACCGTCTGCACAGCCTCGGGGAGAGTGGAAGGAAACAATGTACTGCCCAGCCAAGCAAAACACGGGGAGGTCAAAAGCTGCAGCACGGCTTCTTGGAGATGACACAGGTTCCCGAGGCAGGTCCACTCGTCTCCTGGCACAGGAGCATCCTGCACTAACACCACAGCTCCCAGCCCTGGCTCCTGCACACACCACCTCCCTCCCAGAGATGAGAATTTGTAACTTGGGTGGGAGGAAGGTGCTGGGGTGGGTAGTCCCCGTGCAGAGTGCAGCCCCCATTCCCCTGTGCTGTGGCTTCAGAAATAATCCAGTGTTCATTACCTTGTCAAATTAAGAAACTGAGAGCTGTCAAAGTGTAGCAAAGATTGGAGGTGGCTTTTATAGCAAACTGTGGAATCTCCCACTGTTTGTCTAATCTAATTTCCTCATCCTCATTGTCCTGAGAGAATCATTACAAGACAGGGAGAAGTAGAGAGATGAAGACAGGAACAATTTCCAAGTGAAGGCAACTCCCCCTTCCATGTGTGTGTGCAGATGAGAAGGTTTATATAAGCTGTGTGGGATCAATAATTTCCCTCTGTCAGGTTTATGTTTTAAAGACAACTCTTAGATTTCATCCCCTCTGGTTAATCTGCCATAGAAAGAATATAAAAATAAAAACATTATTTTGTCTGGCAGCAAACACTCCTGTCTTCCAGCGCTGGCTTTTAAGAAGGCAGTGCCAGAGAGAGCAACATGTGGCACATCTCAAGCCCCTTCAGCTGAGATAAAGCCCTAGAGGAACCAGCTGCTGTGACAGCAGAGGGTGAACAAGCTGTCCAACCACAGCAGCAAACCCAAATAAATTAATAGTCAGCACTGTCTCTGCTGGGTAAGGAAAGGTTAAAACTATGCCAGCAACTGGTTGGGGACAGGCTTTTGAGGCAAAGCTGCCGTTCCATGCATGCTAATTGTTATGTTTTCCAAAGATTTCATCAACTAAGTTGTGTTCAACAAACTGCTATTTAATTACTAGAGTAAAATCCTGCTAATTAGCCAGCCCCAGAAGACATCCCTTCATCCCTGTTAAGTGAAATTCCCAACTAATCCCTCCAGCAGCCATTGTGTTGCAGCCTGGAGAGCCCCAGAGAGCAATTAGCAATGGCCACAAAGGTGGGGGGACCATCAGAGCTCAGCCCTCACCTGCTGCCAGTGGCTGTCCTCAGCCCTGGGAAGGTGCAGACAGCACAAGTGCAACACTCAGAAGTAAAAAACTGTTTATTCCTCTTACCAATCCATGGCTCTCCTTCCTGGCTCCATTGCCCAGGTGGCTTCAACCACAGCCTGCCAGCATCTCCCCTTCCCCTGTGCTCCCCTGGGCTGCATCCCCTTCCTTCCTCGGTGCAGTCCATGCCTGTGCCCAAACAAGAGGCCGGCAGTGGCCCTTCAGCTCCACAGCACCCTCCACCCAGCACCCTGCAGCATCCAGGCTTCCCCAGGAGGATGCAGTGAGCAATTTTACAAGTGTTGCAAACACTTCTAAACAAAAACAGAACTCTTCTCTTAGCTCTCATCTCACCCGGCTTCCCAGGTGTATCAAGGATATGAAGTTTCCACAAAATTCACAAAACAGCCTGGATAAAAGTGACAAGTGCTCCAGTCACAGAAAAAGCTTCAGCCTTTCTGGATAGTGCCCGAGGGCACCCTTCCAGTGTGGGAGGGATCAGCCAGGGCTTGTTCCCACCCCAAGAGGGAAGCAGGTTTCTTTCATTCAGCTAGTCTGGAGTTTCTTTGCAGTCTGTCACCATGAAAGTTAAATGTTTTAATTTGACATTGAAATGCCAGCAGAAATTAATTTTGATTGGAAGTTGTAGACACTTCTCTGATATCCATTTAAACAATTTAGAAGATTTTGAAGTACTAGGGGACTCATTTAATCAAGTTCAATAAAGCAAATCTCCAGGTGAAAATAATGAATATTTAAAAGAGTATAAAAATTAACTGTTCAACATCATTTGGTATAAATATATCCCTACAGATGTAGAGATGAAAGGACAGTTCAGAAATTCTAAGTCTTAAAATCTGTGGTTGCAAAATTCCAATATGTAATTTGTCATGTTCCTGTGAATTAGCACTGGTGAGTTTGAGCCAAGCCCAACCCTGGATTGTGGCATAAGAAACACTGAATTTTAGTTGAGAAGATATCCATCAACCTTTATTCTAAATAATACTAAAAATTACTATTATAATTAAGGCATATGAAAAAAAATCCCTGGTTTTACAGACTAGGAACTTAGAAGAATGAAAAATTTACAACAATTTGAAATATGGACCTTGGCAGTCAGCCTATAACCCTGCCCTACAGCTAGAATGATGTCTTCAAGTCTTTATCCAGTGTTGAAGCAGAGGTCTTTAATATTAAAGGGGCACACTGGACAACAAAATAACAATATTTGCCTCAAGTTGGATGAATAAAGTAATACCTTAAACTGGAAAGTTCCAGTGACATCACCAGATCAGCCCCTTCTCCCAGCAGCTCAAATGCTACAGGAATCAACATCACAAACCTGGGGAAGAAATAAGAGGCTGTGGCTTCTTTCCAAAAGTGAAAGGAAGCAGAGGGAAAGGTGCATGATTAATTCTCCATTAGTATTCCACTTACATTTCCTCCAAAGACCAGGAAATACTTCAAGTGAGAAATCTTGCTCATCAGGCAGTTGAAAACATTTCTCCTCACTGTGTTCTAACCCTCACTTCTCTGAAGTCACTTCCCCTCCATCACACAGGCCTGGAGGCTGTCCAGGTACATCCCTGCAAGTATCCACTGTACTTCACACTTCTTCACTGAAAAAAAATTTAATCTAAGAACAAAACAGACAGCTTTTAAGAGAGTGAGTTTTAATGTAAAATACACAAGTTTGAAAAAGCAGGACCAGCAACATTTCATCCCAGAAAGTAATTACAGAAGCAAGACACTTGGATTTTAGAAAACGTGTTTAATTAATAATGCTCATTAACTACAGAGTTTTAATCCATAAATACAAGTTAAAGTTGTAAGTACAAGATTAAGTTGTAAAAAAAAATCTCAAATGTGTGATATTTATTTTTAAATTTATTTGATTTTTATGGCTGCTTCTTAATATACTAAAGATGTGAAAAACAGTGCAACTTGAAGAGCTGCCAGACAAAAACCTCTAAAGGATGAAGGAGTGCTCAGCAGAGAGTCTGTTCATCTCTACCTTGCAGCTTCTTGTAAAAGGAACCACATCAGTCTTTGGGAGTGTATCAGAACACCTCAAATAGTTAATATAGACAAACAGTTAAAGGTTTAACACTGCTGATACTTCTATTCAAGCTGCAATACAAATTTCTTTTCTGTACTTTTTGTTTATTTTAAAAAGGACACTTAGGAAGTTTTGAGGGCTTGAAGCTACAGACAATGGGATCTCTTCCTTTGCACTGAAGTCAGCAGCAATTCTGACACTGACATAGTGGGTGCAGATATGGGCCAGATGTACTTAAGAAAGTGGGAGGGATGGACCCAGTTCGTACAATTCATTAGAAATTATTCCTGACACTTTTTCATGGATGTACAGAAAGGTACCATAAGAGAGAATACAACATAAAACCATAGATATCCTATCACCCTTAATAAGAGGTGTTGAGTTTCTACGGAGAAATTTCTGATTCTAACCTGAACAAGGGCTCTTCTGAAATGAATAAAATTAAAAGACATGAACATCATCCTACACAGGGTTAGTCCCAATATAAATGTGATCTCTTTAATTGCTTATTTAAGGTACCCTTTTCTGTTTACATTTACAGTATGTGCTGTTGTCAGTGCAAGACCAGATTACACTGAACATTAGAATAAATGGAATGCAATTTCTTTCTCTCTTGGGACAAAACCAGTGAGTAAATTTTAACATGATAGGAATGTTTCAAAGTGAAAATTGAAAACACATTTCCCTAAGCCAGGATTCCTCTATGTACAGTATATCTTGGAAAAGCAGCATAGCATCTCTGCTTGTTTGCTTTTCACTAAGCACAGCACAGAAGAAAAAGCCAACTATCTTAAAGAAATGGGAACAAACATAATCTGGCTGAACAAATAAGTGGCCAAAAAATTTATTTAAAGAAACAACTAAGAACTAAAAACACCAACTCAACATGAAAGAATGAATCAGATCTTTAGTGGTCAAGGCAACTGTTCAGGTTTTTTTCATTTTCAGTAGCAACAGGCCAGTTTGAAATGTCAGAAACTCAAAAGGGCCAACTCCATGTAGCAATTCTGCAGGTCTTCCACCATCCTCCTCCTGTCCAGACCAGCTCAAAACACCAAATAACAACAAATGATCCTGGCATACAATGCACTCAATGCTTTCCACATTAGCCTTCAAAAGCATGATGCTCTCTGTGGGCTAGGGAAAAGAGAAGGAAAAAAAAAAAGGAATAGAAGAATATGTAAACTCTGTCGAGGAGTTGAAAAGATTAAAAAAAAAGAAGATAAAAATGCATAAATCAGTCAAGGGAGAACACAATGTGCCAACAAGGGATCTTTTAGAATACACTGTTTGATAATACATTTATAGGGAGCCTAAAATATGAGATTCCTTAAAATCCTGATTGCAAATAGTTCTTCTAAATCAATACTTAAATTGGACAGTATGTATCCTTGAGAGTTATTAAGAGATTTGTTGAATTTGTGAATCAAGCAAATTAAACATGAAACAAAACAGATTGTACAATGAAATTAAAAATATCTTTTGAATGATAGCTAACTTCTACATTGAAGGGACATAATTTTAATGCAATGACAGATGCTACGTTCCTAAGTGATTAATGATGAATCAGGCAGGATATTCCCACTGAAATACCCTACCAGCATCTTGTTTTTGTAATGAAGGTAGAAATGAACAGTACAAAATACTTACATTTATAAAAGACCGCTTTAAAAGACGTGTGTGGGAGAAGTTTATGAATCTTTTCTAAAACGTTTGCTTCACTTGCTGAAGAGGAATTCATGTTCCAGACTTGCACAACATCTTCACGGTCACGAACACTGACACTAACCCCTATTACTTCATCATCTGCACAGAAAGGGAAGAAACATTAAGGAATACTTTAAAAGTGAGACATGTCTAATTTGCTACTTGTGTATTATGAAACAGTGGCCAAAAGCTGGAAAAAAAAAAAGATGTAAAAAAAAGAGCAATCTCCAGTGAGGAAAATACCAACATTCAAACCAGACAAAGTAGTTACCAGAAAGAAACTGTTTTTAGAAGTTATTGGAAATATTACCTCATGGTGTTTTTTATGAAGTGCCATAGGATTATTCATCTTTGCTATTAGCACTCTTAGACTTGATTAGAAGGGAATCACAAGAATCCCTCCAGTAAGGTCAGCAATATGAACTACTAAAGACAATTTACCTACAGGGATGCCTACAAGCAGAAGTGGGAGGATGAGGGTGAAACAACTAAAACCCCAGGAACAGTACCTGGTAGAGATCAGACACCAGCTTTTCCAGACTTAGCTCTCTTTTTCCTTTACATTTTGTCAAGGCAGCAACAACAAAAAAAAAAGAAAACAAAATTAATGAAATTAATAAAGCCCCAGTCAGGCTGCTGCTGCTGCCAGTGCTGGTTACTCAGTGCTACATTGAAGAAGCCGTTTTTGTTGTGAAGTTCTCAGGATGCAGCTTTTTGGAGAGCTCAAAGGCCATGCCACAGCTGGGTGCAGTGGCTGATCCAGCTGTGAACTCCATGGCACAGCTGCTCTGTGCATCCCAAGGAAAGGATCACCAACAATGCACAAAGGTGGTGTAAGAAGCACATGGCCAAGGACAAGAACCACCTCTGTGGGCAGCAGAATTCATATATTTGCTTAAAGTGACCCCAAGACAACCCTATCAGTGTATAAAGGGTATGAGAGACCATTTGAAAGGTTATTTCTGAGCTGCTCTGTAAACCTGAGAAATGACATTCTTTTTCATGAACTGATAGCCAGTGAAAGACAATTTCTAACAGGATATTCACTGTCACTGTAACAGCCACTTTTATCAGATATTCATGCTTAGAAGAGAAGCAAATATGGTGAAAAGAAATGATGAAGAAATGTCTCAATCATTACCTGCTGCACAACAATCTGTAAACTGCTCTCCAATAGTTGCTAGCAGTAGCTCTTTCCAAACTGCAGCCTAAGGAGGCAGAAAAACGTTATGTTGACATTATTATTTCTTAAATTAAAAGTTAGGTTTGATAGCTCAGTTTTGAGTGTTTTCTCTTTCTGCGGTTGTCTAGACAAAAAGGAGTATTTATTGTAAGTGCATGCTGTGTTATATAATTGATTGCTAGGTCTGTACAAGATGGTTCATCTTAGCCAAGGAGATGCTGTGCCCATGTGTGATGAAGAATGAAGCAAAAAAAAATGAGAAACAGGCATAAAGGTGTTATTTATGCTATTTACAAGGCACTGAAAGCTGACTGAAGTTCACCTTCAAGCAAACCTTTCAGAAGTGACTGAGGCCATGTGCTGCATAGTTTGAGAGATCAAAAGTACCTTCATGTCAAAAAGGGGCTGTCATTCAGCCTCTGAAAAACAAGGCCTCTGGGGTCTCTAAATTCACTGCCCAGTAATTCAGGCTCTCCAAACCACTTGTCACTTCTGACAATCTTCACACCTTGGATTATAGGAGGAAAAAGACAATTTCAATTTCAGTCTTTTGTGACCACTTGGGACTGCAGGGGAGGAAAGCTGCAAGTCACAAGAAAAAAGCCCACAGGCAAAAATCAATTAACTTTCAGCTGAAATTTTGAGTACCATCTTTCAGCATTTAATGCCTTCTGCGAGGCTGTCACATTTTTCTGACACTTCACTTTTTCTGTTTAAAGGCCTGATCCAGAGCACACTTACACACATAAACACCATGTGTGAAGAGGTCAAATCTCCTTTCTGTGGCAGTTCACAGAAGTTACTCACATGCATTTGATTAGAGAGGCAAAGTGAAACACAGTTATTTCATTAGAGCTCAAGGATATGCCTGAATAGACTTCATCTTTCACACTTTTAAATGAAAAAAATATATAATTTAGCATAGATTATCTGGAAAAGGTATTTCTATTTTTCTTTGTATGCCTATAAGAAAACATTCTTGAGAACAATGGTGATTATAAATTACCATGTTTCCAAACTGAAACACTGTAGCTTTCATTTGTTTTATAATACGTTGCCAAATGTTATCTAAAGCAAGATATATGGAATTATTGGAAAAGAAACTTCTGCTCATTGCCTCTAAAAGGTTATGGAAGTTAAAATAGTGTTTGATTGTTGTGTTGGGTGATGTAAGAAGTAAAAACCTTCACAACAGCTTTATCAAACAGAGTTTAAAGAAACTCCCTTACTAAACAAGGTCTGAGTAAAGAATCAATGTAACATACTGTACTTTCTTTAGGGACCTTCATTTTCCATATACCTCCTTTGGCATTGCTTTCTTCTTCCCTGTTATGGGAAATAGATCAGTGAAAATAAACATTCACATCCACATCTAGATAACCCTATGTTTGTGGTTTAATTTTCCCAGAAAAATCTCATCTGAAATGCAATTACTAACTCCAGAGAGCATGACTCTGACTTCTGACATCAGAGATAATTCTTTCATTGTTCATATGAAGTGTATCTCTCAACACCTAATCTTTTTCCTAAGTTTTGTGTGTTGGAAAGTACTTGTATTTTCCCTGACTACAGACCATCTTTGAAGTGGCTGCACACTGTATGGAAACAAGCCACAAAACAATTTTACATTTTACTATGGTAACCTTTAATTTTGGAAAACCTCTGGCGTATTTTCACAGAAGCAGCTTTTTACTCTTCCATTTATTCAATTTAATAAAAGAACATGAGCACACTTCATTTCAGTTTTGTGACAGCTAGAAATTAATTGCCCTTATTAAAAAAAGACTGGAGCTGCCCCAGGTCAGGGCAGACATAACCATTACACTGCCTTGAAATGATAAAGGCAAAATGCACTAACCTGTGAGCTTCTCAAGTTTATCCTGTCACAATTCTTTTTCTAAGACTTCAAATTAGGGCTTCTAGTTTCCTGTTAAAACTCTGTAAAGACCAAATTAAAGGAACAACCTAAAAATTCATCTTTGGAATATCTAAACCCAGTGTGACACCTATAGAGATTCCTCAGGATCAGTGGTCCCCCACCAATCCTGACAGATGCTGGGGAAAAGAGGGGGGAAACTTTGGGAGGACATCTTCAAAAATCTGCATCCTCAATTCTTACTTCAGGATTTCTCTCTCTTTCTAAAAGAAAAAAAGAAACAAACAAAAAAACCCCTGAAATTGGCCAGTATACCATAATGAGAGTGTGAGAAAAGCTTCCTGGCAGTAATTATTGAAAAATTAGCAAATTACTGATGATGAGATCAATCTCTTGCAATCTCCTTCCTAAAATTCAAAATCAATTTGATAGGCTTAAATAAGTATTTTCAGAAATTGTCTTTGCATTTTACACCTCCATAGTCGCTTAACAAATAAAAATAAAAAAACTAAAAATAGGAAAAACAAACTCAAAAAACTCAAACCCCTAAATGCTCTCATTCATCCTTATAAAGATATGAAGACCTGAACACGATGGTCCAGTTAATTTTTTCATGTTTTTTCAATGTTTCATGATTTTCCAATGTTTTTTCATGCCCATTTTAGCTATCCTGACCAGTCACAGTATTTTCACAAAAGTAACCTTCAGATGCATTTCACTTTGGAACATTTACATTTCCAGTAGGACAGAAATATCCTGTAGTCAAAGCTAGACAACTATGATCAAGTTAAAGAGCCCCAATGCAATCACAATCTACAGAAATGATGCCAAAAAGATCAAAACTCTTCAGAAAGTGCTGAGGTTCTCTGAGATATGACAGAACTGCAACAGGAAGAAGGGACACAAAGTTTGATTTCTGAAAGGAAAATATCAATTATTTCTACTTTATTCCATTACCATCCTACAATCAAGTATGAATTTGCTGCAATGAATCACCTCCTAATGTCTTAAATTACTTTTAATCCAAGGTGCATTGTCATGTATAGGCATATGAAGCACATACTTCACCTGTACTTTTGCATAGTTGAAAAGGAGTGAAGGATCATCAGCTGTTTGCATCATTATTTCACCAGCTTCAGTGGAAAGAAAATAATGTGCAAGCTAAAAACTGCAAACAGAAGTAACTTATTCTGTGTATTCCTGAACTGAGATTCAGAGTCATATTCTAATTTCTTAGCTTCTATTTCATAATCTATTTTTGTACATTTACGTCCAGAGGTGGACAATGAAATTACAGTCTGTTTTTTAATAAAGACTCTTTGGTACAAGTCACTTTTCAACCGAACAAGAACCTCAGGGTATTTCTTTCATTGCTCTCTTGAGTTCAGGTGTTTGCAGCCAACAGAAACAAGACCCTCCTGTCCCACACCTTTCACTCCTGCAAGTTATTCCACTGCCCATTCCCAGAAATGTCTGGTGACAACACACGTACCAGAGCGGGCGCCTTTCTCCCCGCATTAAATGGTAGCTACATCTCAGAGGCAAGTTTGTCACGGGAGGAATGTTGTTGTAGACACTCCAGAAATCCTTAAAAAGGAAAAATATTGGTTGCATTAACACAAGAGAGTGTTTCACGGAGATTTATTTCCTTGCTAATTTTCTCTGAACCAACTATACATCCTTCTCCTAGAGAACGGGGACTTTCTATGTTATAATAAAAAGCTCTGAAAAGAAATTCTTACAGAATCATTCCTACTTTTATTTTTTTAAGATGCCAATCCTGCATACATGAAGGTGGAAAAAAGGGAAGCAATCCAAATGTGGATTATCCTTTTGAATACAGAGGGAAAAAAAACATCAAAACCAGTTATACTGTGTATGTCAGAACAAACCATTACAAAAAAAACTTCCTTAGCATATTAAAAATATATATTTATACCAAATATTTATCTTGTGTCATTACAATTATCCTGAGTTACATAAACACCACAAACAATAATTCTGGTGAGCTCAATGCCTAACCAGCAACCCAATTAGTTTGTCTGAATGAAAGGTTTCAACCAGATGCAAAGAACTTGAGATGCACATGTTAATCCAGCAGTGGGGGAGAAATTCAAAGTTTCAAGTTACCAGGAACCATTGGATTACTTCCCAGTATTTCTGCTGGTAAAAGCAGAAGCTGTCAGGCAGATTTGGGGTGGATAAAAAGGCACCCAAAAGCAGTAGTGAGGAACAGGGAGGGATGATTGAAGAGATCCCAATCTCTTCTCTCTTTATCCAACAGTTGGGAATAGAAAGGATTTTTAAAGACTTAAGCTGCATCAACATGCAGTGATGCAATATTAATCATTACTGCAACTCATTAAGCATTATCTAGACATAATATTTAAGTATTATCTAATACATTAAGTAATATCTAATACTTAATCGCTAGTACAACTTTAGAAACAAGGATTGCAACATTATGTGATAAAATTTTGTGGCCCTTGGCAACTCTGCCAAGCCACTACCTTTACCCAGCCACATGAAGAAACTGAAGACTACTAAAAATAGAAAGTCTTGCTATGAAACATCCATTACAACTATGATCTTACTCTTAAATCGTTGTGTGCCCAAACCCTAAAGGTACTTGCAGAACACGGAGCAGAGGTACACTGGCATATGGCTGTGGGAACATTGAGAGCTCTTTTTGTCCTGAACGTAGTTTGAAAGGTTTTGTGTTTGTAAATCTCGTGCAATGTATGAAGTTGTGCAGACCTTCATGAGAAAGGTTTATTTAAAACTTCAGTAGATTGTTACAGGTGTGCTTCTCAAAGAGAAGGGCCTGGCACTACCCTAAAATTTCAGAGATTTAGTGAACTAGTCAGTTTAGTACTAAGGTGAGACAAATACCAATTTGCTACACACTTCATGCTGTGGTATTAAAATAGAAATACAATTTCCCTTGCAAGAGATACCCACCACTAGGCAATGGCAGATGACATAGACATGCAGAATTTCTCACTGCTGCAAGTATTACATGGTTTAAGAGCCCTTTAATTCAGTTTGCTAGAATCTTTTTTCAGATACAGACTCAAGGAGAGAAACCCCACCAAAAAAAAAAGCCACATGCTGCAATTTTTAGTCTTCACGCAATTAATTTCCGTATTAGAAAAGGCAGAAAGATATTTAAAATACATCAAATAAAATAATTCAATGTACTAGTGGAAACTCAGGAAGGTTTGAGAATCCAGCATGCCCAGTCCAATACGCCTCCTCCTTTCCCCATCCGGAAAGCCAAATGGAATTCAAACACTGACTCAGTAATACAAACACACAGCACCAGTAACACGCACGTTTCACACCTCAGGTAAGCAAAGCCACAGGTGTGACTCATCCTGGAGGAAAAACAAAACTTGAGGTGTGAAGTTACATTAATAACATGTGGCAGCTCCTGTAGCAGAGCCAGACCCTTACCTGCACTGTTTGTACTGTATAAATCTTCTTCAAATTTAATGCACATTCAGCTGCTGTTGTACCAGGAAGTGACCTTGAAGACAAAGCACTGATTAATTAAAATATTTGTTTTATCAAGGAGGGGGAGAAGGGAGATGGAGAGGGAATGTGAATCGCATGAGTGTGAAGTTGAAATGTTCACATGTCAAAGGGGAAGTTCAGCTCCAAATTATCACGAATCACTTGCGAATAAATTAATATTTGCAGGCAATTCGTAAAACTAAACAGAAGTATCAGGAGTTTTAGCCAAGCAGCACAGCACTGCTCTCAGAGCTACCACACACCATCAAAGCCCTGCTGTTCACAGGTGATGGGCTACCAGAAGGGGATCGCATGATCCTACCCCGGAATTATTTTTAATACATCCTAGCGTCCGTTTTTAGCATTTTAAGACGCTCCCGGTGCTTCACGCTTTGAAAAGAAACTCATCCGCACACCTTGTGCTCCCTGCGCCGGCCGGGCCCTCAGCGCGGGCCGCTAGGTGGCGCAGGCGCACAGCCGGCGGGCACGGCGGGGCGCGGGCACGGGCGGGCACGGGCACGGCGGGGCGCGGGCACGGGCACAGGCGGGCACGGGCACGGGCGGGCGCGGGCACGGCCCAGGCGAGCACGGCACGGGCGGGCACCGTTAGCCCTGAAGGGTGGGACACGCACACGGGCTAAGGAGAAGCACGAGTCCCACAGGGAACTCAGCGCACCCACGGAACCTCCATGACTCCAGGCAGTTCTCCCACCGCCGGCAATGATGCCTTCAAGCCGCATCTACCCGCAACAGCCCTGTAAAGCCAAGAGATCCCTGGGCCGGTCTCGGTGCCAGACACCCTGGTACAGCAGGCGTGGTTCAGCTTCTGTAGCTCACCCTCAGACCGACCATCAGCAGCTCCACCCAGAGCTGCTTCTCTCCCTCAGGGGAAGCCATAAGAGGAGTGGCTGAGGTCACTTGGTCTGTTCAGCCTGCAGGAGACTGAGGGGACACCTCGTTGCAGTCTACAAGTGCCTCATGAGGGGAAGGCACTGATCTCTGAGGTGGCCACTGACAGGATCCAAGGGAATGGCTGGAGCTGTGCCAGGAAGGTTTAGGCTGGATATCAGGAAAAGGTTCTTCCCCCAGAGGGTGCTGGGGCACTGAACTGGCTCCCCAGGGAATGGTCACAGTCCCAAGGCTGCCAGAGCTCCAGGAGCACTTGGACAATGTTCTCAAGCACAGGGTGTGACCCTTGGGGATGGTCCTGTGCAGGGACAGGAGTTGAACTTGATCCTCAGGGGTCCCTTCCAGCTCAGGATATTCTGTGATTTTTTTAGGCACACACAGCACCATCTGCATCCCATCATCCGAAAGGTCTTTCCCAGCCTAAATGGTTCTATTTATAATCATTTTCATTACTCTTCAGTGCATGAGACAGGGGATGGTGCATCCACACCCCCAGACATCCCTGTGTTCCTGTCACTGCAGTAACAGTGCATCGTAACACCCACCTTACAATTCCCAGCACACAATCTCACAGGCACAATTTTGGGGGAATGAGGTCAAAATTGCTAAGGCACATTCAATTTCTTAGAACTAGAAACATTTTTCTTTCCCTTCAGAAGCTGAAAGAAAAACGAAGATCAAAGACAAAAGCAACCTCCCATTGTGTCTCAGAAGAGGAAACAAAAATGTGTAAAATTACTAAATCTGGAAACAGAAGCAAGAAAGCAGGTTTAAGGAAACAGAAGCAAACGCAGCTGTTGCTCGGGTACCAGCTGAAGAAAGGATAAAAGCAAACCAGATCTCAGCATCCCTCCCTGATACATCTGATCAGCATGAAATATGTCCAGGGAAACTCTGAAGTTTCTCTCAGTTGTTACAGATATAATTGAAGCTTTGGGCAAACCCTAGATATTCATGTAAAGAAAGAAATTTAATATGCAAAACTACTGAAAGAGCATCACATCTTCAAAAGTCTAATAATAGCTCTAAGGTTTTTTCAGGGCTCCTATTAAAATAAGCTGCTTTAAAAATACATACAAAACCAGCAGAAAAATACCACCCAACTTTTTCAGTATAAAACAGGCAAACTAACATCTGCTTTACTATTTGTCTGTTAATTACCAGAACTAAGAGCACATTACAATGGTAGAACTGGCAGGAAACTAACAAAAAAAAATCAACAAGAAATTGACATGGCACAGCTTGTAGTCCAGTGGCTCATGAACTATGAGAACTGCCATGAAAAAACTGATAACTTAAAACCAGCAACAAAAATTTTTTTCATCAATGTGATAAAAGGAATTATCATAGTAAGTTTTGGAGGTCTGGGGTTTTTTCGTGTGTTTCTTTTGGCATTTTTTTAGGTACACTTTACACTCAGCATTAAAGTGCAGAAAGATAAATTTACAGAATTTTACAGAAACAGAGTCAGATTGCTTTTGAAAACACAAACAAAAGGTAGTAAGTTCAAACAGTCTTTAAAACTCATCAAGCGATTTAACAATTTGTCAGTGGAGAGTAGAGGATTTACAACCAGCTACCACTTGTTCTTTTCTTGCTAACCATACTAGCACCTCTTTACTAACACTTTGCTCCATGTAGAATGGAACACAAACAGGCAAAACCTGGGATAAATTTTGCCTCTTTTTGTCTCACCCCACTGCCCAAGAAATTATTTCTCTTCTGGACTATTTCTGCCACTGGTGGCTTAGCAGTCACCAAGGCATCTGGCATTACATATGTTGTACAACAGATACTATCATCACTTGATATCCTCGTGCTGATACTGCCACTGAGTTGCTTCAATAGTAAGGTCTACTTAAATAAAAGATTAAAATGTATTCTCTAGCCATAGCCTTCAAAGGTTACCTAGATCATCATGGTAGCCATTTAGCAAATTTAATGCCATTTAAAAGAGCAGCTAAGACAGGTAGACAGAATATACCACTCCAATGTTATAAAATTGTTCATTTTGATAGTTGCAAATAACATTTTCCAGAGAAACTGTGATCAGCTGGCAGAAAGCACCAACCAACCAGCAAATTACCTGTTTTAAAAGTTATGGTGAGTGACCATTTATTCCTAGTAACCTGCTTGATAAGTGCTCCAGGCCCACCAGATTACAGTGTTATTTCAGCCTTTCATTTAGCTCTGGAAAGTGTCAGTCATTTATGGATATAAGCATGAACACCCAAATGTTTTTATCTGAAAAACAAACAATCAAACAAAATCCTACTAAAAAACTGTAACTGAGAAAACGATGATGCATCAATTTAAAAGTTCAAGATCATTTGCACAAATTTGGTTTAATGCATGACTGTAAGGCAGAGACAGTATTTTAATCAGAGAGACAGAAGAAAAAAGCCTTGAATTTCCTGCAAAATTCAGACTGCTGACAAATCTGAACCGTAGTGTTTCTGTTTCACCCAGAAACTCACCAGATCCACGCAGAGGACCACTCAGGAGTTTTGTGCTTTGAAACCCATGACACTGGTATTTATTTTCTTTTTAGTTGAGTACACATTTTAAGTTAAGTTTAAATTAAATTAGCAGAAATGACAGATGATTTTCAAGTGAAAGAATCTGTAGAAATTCCTATTTCTGTAACTCTCCAGCAAAAACTTGCACTACAAGGTAGGAGAAGTGAGACAGTTGTGTACTTTACTAAAAACCTCAGTACACATGGTACTACAAAACAAGACCCTACAAATATTGACCCTCAAAATGAAGCCAGGATTCTTCCCATTCAGATAATTTTACTGCCATCAACAATACAATTAATCCAATATGCCCTACTGACCTGTCAGTTATTGCCATGGTGAACAATTCATTTCCAATGAATTAATTTCCAATTCATTCATTTCCACTGGCCCTGCCAATCCCCATGAGCACAGGAACAGGAAGGAGCTGGATCACACCACCAGCCTGGCTCTGACAGATCCTCTGGGGGTGGAAATAGTTCTTCTGTCACCACTTCACCTACAGTTGTGCATCTAGGTTTCTCATGGAGAATCTGCACATAAAATATTTCAAGGGTTCTCCTGGTCTGCCTGTTTTCATGCCCAGTGATGCTACTGCATCTTCAGAACCTTTATAGGAGAAAATTTAATGCAGTGTCAGGACTAATTGAGTTGCCTAAGCAGGCCAGACCCACTGTACAGCATCTCATGGTTAATCACATGGGAACGTGGAAACAGGAATAATCTCCACAAAATGAATCCTAATGCCAGCTTTCTTTGCTACTCCTTCATTATTCCAGCATGAATAAAGAACAAAGGATACAAAGATAAATTCCATTGTTTTATCCATGAATAAACCTCCAGGTGGTTGTGCTTATGTTAATTTCTGATGCTGAACTGTAGCTTTTCTGTTTTCCTGCAAAGAATTAAGCATAGAAGTTGTTTCATATATGCTCACACTGGCCTTTGTTTCCCAGTGGGAATCTCATCACAGCTTTAGTGGAAGCTTTAAAAGCTGCCAAACAGTTTTGAAAATACCCCTGTAAGTGCTTAGCCACAACTGCTTTTGGTATAAATAAGCAAAATATTTACTTACAAAGCATAAAGTCAAAAACATGCTGTGGCAACTAAATAAATCTGGTAATCCATTTTGAATACAAAGACTGATTTCAAGCCATCAAGGCCTGTCAAAATGCACTTACGGGATTGAACATTCTTATGATATTAACCATCATTTTTCATTGTAAGCCACCTACTCATAAGCTGTAATAGATGAAATAGATGATCCTAGATAAATAAATTTTGCTATAGGGAAGAAGGGAAATTATTAAGTTTAGTTTCATATGTCTAATGTGTTCAGTTAGGAAGATTAACACATTATTAAAATGGTTCCATTATCAGAATGTATCTACTCAGTTTTATATAGAACTCATCTACAACATACAGAGAGAAAAATCAGTGCATCAGGATAACATCTTATGTAAGAATATTTTGTCTTTCCTGGAATAGACAAATAACACTGCTT